CGACGAGAGCTTCCCGGCGCACCGCGCCGTACTGGCTGCCTGCAGCGAGTACTTTGAGTCTGTGTTCAGCGCCCAGTTGGGTGACGGCGGAGCTGCAGACGGGGGTCCTGCTGATGTGGGAGGCGCTGCGGCGGCTCCGGGCGGGGGGAGGGGCGGTGGAACTGGAGGCAGCCGCGAGCTGGAGATGCACACCATCAGTTCCAAAGTGTTCGGAGACATCCTGGACTTCGCTTACACGTCCCGAATTGTAGTGCGCCTAGAAAGCTTCCCTGAGCTCATGACGGCCGCCAAGTTCCTGCTGATGAGGTCGGTCATCGAGATCTGCCAGGAAGTCATCAAACAGTCCAACGTGCAGATCCTGGTGCCCCCTGCCCGGGCTGATATCATGCTCTTTCGCCCTCCTGGGACCTCTGACTTGGGCTTCCCTTTGGACATGACCAATGGGGCAGCCTTGGCAGCCAACAGTAACGGTATTGCTGGCAGCATGCAGCCCGAGGAAGAAGCTGCCAGGGCCACAGGTGCAGCTATTGCAGGCCAAGCTTCCCTGCCTGTGTTACCTGGGGTGGACCGCTTGCCCATGGTGGCTGGGCCCCTATCCCCTCAACTGCTGACTTCTCCATTCCCCAATGTGGCATCCAGTGCTCCTCAACTGACTGGTAAGCGAGGCCGGGGACGTCCCAGGAAGGCCAACCTGCTGGACTCCATGTTTGGGTCTCCAGGGGGCTTGAGAGAAGCAGGTATCCTTCCATGTGGCCTGTGCGGGAAGGTGTTCACTGATGCCAATCGGCTCCGGCAACATGAGGCCCAGCACGGCGTCACTAGCCTCCAGTTGGGCTATATCGATCTTCCTCCTACAAGGCTGGGTGAGAATGGGCTACCCATCTCCGAGGACCCCGACGGCCCCAGAAAGAGGAGCCGGACCAGGAAGCAGGTGGCTTGTGAGATCTGTGGCAAAATCTTCCGTGACGTGTACCATCTCAACCGGCATAAGCTGTCCCACTCTGGGGAGAAGCCGTACTCCTGTCCGGTGTGTGGTCTGCGGTTCAAGAGAAAAGACCGCATGTCCTACCATGTGAGGTTCCCATGATGGGTCAGTGGGCAAGCCGTACATCTGCCAGAGCTGTGGGAAAGGCTTCTCCAGGTGAGGAATGGCCCCCCTCCCCCACTCTGCTGTGTACTATCTTAGTTACGCCTCTTGAGACAGTACCCTGCTAGGATCTGGGGATGTGGATCTTGTGGGGGTGGAAGGTCACTGGACCTTAACAGAGCATGCCATATTTAAATGTTTTAAGACTCCCGGTTTTGAGATGGTGTGGCCAAGAGCTGCATCTGTCCCTTCATGCAAGTTCTCCGGCACCAGAGCACTACTATCCTCATCCTCCGGGGGCCTGTGGAAAGGGGCCGGATTCCTCAGGCCAGAGCCATTGGGCCTCCCCATTCTTCTCCCCGGTTCCCTTTGTGTTTCCGGCACCAGGCGTGGGGCCCCCTCTGGGGGCGGGAGGCTGGGCTCCTCCCTCGACTTTCCCCGCCTGAATGGCTGCGGAGGGAGGGGCTGAACAAGTGCGTCTAGGACTCCTTATACTCCCGAGGCCCAGATCCTCCACTGTTTGAGTGGGCCACGCTGTAGCTGTAGTCTCCAGCTTTGCCCCTCATGTGACCCTAGGATTGAGAGGCATAAAGCCGGCTACTCATGGCTGTTTTGCAATAGTAATACCGAAATCTGATGGGCTCTGACCTGCTGAGTCTAGAATCCAGTGAACCCACAAGTCCTCTGTTCTCAGGACAGAATGAAAGGCAGAGACACTTTTTTTTTAACTTTTAGTGAGACTTCTTTGGGACTGAGGACTTTTTGGGAGCAGAGGGTTGTGGGTTTTTTTTTTTCCCTAGTTTGGGAATATTTAATAAAGTCTGCTTTTAACTGGAATCCTGAGGACCTTGCGTGTGTGTGTGTGTGTGTGTGTGTGTGTGTGTGTGTGTGTGTGTGTCTATATCTTCTTTTTGTGCATGTGCCC